CCCCCCCGGGCTCCCCTTGGAATCCCCTGGAAGTGGCAACTGTGGGATCCCCCTTTTCCCGAGGGCTCTTCCCAAAAACTCTTCCCAAAATTCCCCCCCCTGGAATTCCACAATCCCAAAATTCCCCCCTGGAGTTCCCTGATCCCAAAATTCCCCCCCCCCCCGGAATTCCTCGATCCCAAAATCCCCCCTGGAATTCTACAATCCCAACAAACCCCCCCGGAATTCCCCGATCCCAAAATCCTCCCCCTGAAATTCCCCGATCCCAACAAACCCCCCGGAATTCCCCGGAATTCCCAATAAACTCCGGCTCGTTGCTCTCCCGGTTCTCTCCCGTCTTCATTCGCTCCCTATCCCCATTTATCCCAAATTTAGCCCAATTTTATCCTGGATTCATCCCAAATTTATCTTGGATTCATCCCAAATTTATCCTGGTTTGATCCGGAATTCATCCTGGTTTTATCCTGAATTTATCTGGGTTGTATCTCTGATTCATCCCAAATTTATCTTGGTTTTATCCCAGATTTATCCCAGTTTTATTCTGGATTCATCCTGGATTTATCCTGGTTTTATCCCAAATTTATCCTGGTTTTATCCTGGATTTATCCCCAGTTTTGTCCTGGTTTTATCCTGGATCCATCCCGGATCCATCCTGGTTTGATCCCAGATTTATCCCAGTTTTATCCTGGATTTATCCCAGATTTATCCTGGTTTTATCCTGGATTCATCCTGGATTCGTTCCTGTTTTATCCCAAATTTATCCTGGTTTTATTCAGGATTCATCCTGGTTTTATCCCGGATTTATCCCAGTTGTATCCTGGATTTATCCCAGATTTACCTTGGTTTTTTCCCGGATTCACCCTGGATTCATCCCCGTTTTATCCCAAATTTATCCTGGTTTTATTGTGGATTCATCCCCGTTTTATCCTGGATTTATCCCAAATTTCGCTTGGTTTGATCCCAGTTGTATCTTGGTTTTATCCCCAATTTATCCTGGTTTGATCCCAGATTTATCCCAGTTGTGTCTTGGATTTATCCCGGATTTATCTTGGTTTTATCCCAGATTCATCCTGGATTCATTCCTGGTTTATCCTGGATTTATCCCAGTTTTATCCCAGATTTATTCCAGTTGTATCTTGGATTTATCCCAGTTTTAGCTTGGATTCATCCCGCTTTTATCCCGGATTTATGCTGGATTCATCCCAGTTTTATCCCAAATTTATCCTGCTTTTATCCTGGTTTTATCCTGGATTCATCCCAGTTTTATCTTGGATTCATTCCGGTTTTGTCCTGGATTTGTCCCAGTTGTATTCTGGATTTATCCCGGTTTTATCCTGGATTTATCCTGATTTTATTCTGGATTTATCCCAATTTTATTCTGGATTTATCCCAGAATAATTCCAGTTTTATCCTGGATTTATCCTGGTTTTATCCTGCATTCATTCCTGTTTTATCCCAAATTTATCTTGGTTTTCTCCCAGATTTATCTCAGTTTTATCCCGGATTTATCCCAGTTTTCTCCTGGTTGTCTCTCGGCCTCATCCCAGTTTTATCCGGGATTTATCCCAGTTTTATCTCAGATTTATCCCAGTTTTCTCTCCTATTTATCTCAGACCCATCCCAGTTTTATCCGGGATTTATCCCAGTTTTCTGTTTCCTGTTTATCTTGGCCTCATCCCAGTTTTCCAGCTCCGTCGGGGCCGTTTTCCCTCCGTTCCCTCCTGGGAATTCCCCGAATCCCGGGATTTCCGGGGCCATTCCAGGGGTTTTCTGAGGCCCAGGGGTGTGTGTCCAACATTCCAGGAATTGGGAATTCCAGCAGGAACCCGGGGGGAGAGGGGAGAACCAGCCCGGACCATTCCCAGAATATTCCCAGAGTATTCCCAGATTATTTCCCAGGAATATCTTGAGTATCTCAGGAGCAAAAGTTGGGATTGGGGAAGTTGTGTCGGGTGTTTTCCTGGAAAATCCCACCCCGAAATTCCCGTTTTCCCAGAAAATCCCCCCAGAATTCCCGTTTTCCTGGGAAATCCCACCCCAGAATTCCCGTTTCCCTGGAAAATCCCGTCCCGGAATCCCCGTTTTCCTGGAAAATCCCACCCCAGAATCCCAATTTTCCTGGGAAATCCCACCCTGGAATTCCCCTTTTCCTGGAAAATCCCACCCCAGAATTCCCATTTCCCTGGAAAATCCCCCTTTTCCAGACCGGTTTCATCCCAATCCCACATTTTCCGGGACCGGAAGACCCGGAAGAGCCTCAAATCCCCCCTGGGAATGTTTTTTTGGGAATCTCCTTTGGAATTTGGGATGAGAAAGGGGGATTTTGGGATGAGAATCCCGGATTTTTCCCTTCCCTGGATCCCAGAATTTGGGAATTCCGGGGTTTCCCTTCCCTGGATCCCGGGATTTGAGGCTGAGAATTCCCTGGGGAGCTGAAAAAATCAGGGATGGGGCCGGAAAACCGCTGGGAAAATCTGGGATTTGGGAGCCTCCGGAGGCTTTTCCAAGGAAATCACGAGGACAGGAGCCCCACCGGGAATTTTCTTGGAATTCTGGGTGAATTCCAGGCCTTGATCCCGCTTTTCCCGGCCTGAATTCCCCTGGATCTGGGTCGGGAATTCCCTGATTTCCCCGAGGCGCCAAATCCCAAAATATTCCCGACTTTTCCTGGTTTTTTTGGGCCCTTTGGTCTCGTTTTCTCCTCCCCATTCCTTGGATTCTGGTGGGAATCCCGGGAAATTGGGATTTGGGGAATTGCTGAGCCTCAGGAATCTTTGGGAAAGGGGGAAAAGTGGGAATTTCTCCCAGAAAAGTGGGAATTTCTCCTGGAAAAGCGGGAATTTCTCCCGTTCGGGGCTTGGAATGTTCGGAATCCGCTCGGTTCCTTTTTTTAGGCTTCTCCCAAAAAAAGCCCAGGAATCCTTGGAATTGTTTGTTTTCCCCGTATTTGGGGCCGTTTCCTTGGGAATGGGAAGGGGGGGGGGGGAGGGGGGGATTCCCGAGGGCTCCTTCAGGGATTCCGGGATTTCGGGAACAAAGCCCCTCCCGGAGGGATTTTGGGATCGATCCTTTCCCGGATGGAATTCCCAAAGGAATCCATTCCCAGGGGGATTTTGGGATCGATCCCTTCCCTGAGGAATTTCAGGATCAATTCCTTTCCCAGGGGAATTTAGGGATCAATCCCTTCCCTTGGGAAGTTAGGGATCCGTTTGTTCCCAGAGGGATTTTGGGATCAATCCTTTCCCTGATGGAATTCCGGAGGAATCACTTCCTGGAGGGATTTAGGGATCCATTTATTCCCGGAGGAATTTCGGGATCAATCCAATCCTTTCCTGAGGAATTTCGGGATCAGTTTGTTCCCAGAGGAATTTCGGGATCAATCCCTTCCCTTGGAAATTTAGGGATCCATTTGTTCCTGGAGGAATTTAGGGATCAGTTTGTTCCCGGACGAATTTTGGGATCAATCCTTTCCCTGCTGGAATTCCTGAGGAATCCTGTCTGTGCTGGAATTCCCGAGGAATCCTTTCCCTAGGGGGATTCCCAAAGGAATCAGTTCCAGGGGGATTTTGGGATCAGTTCCTTCTCTGGGGGAATTTAGGGATCCGTTTGTTCCCTGAGGAATTTCGGGATCAATCCTTTCCCTGCTGGAATTCCTGAGGAATCAGCTCCCGGAGGGATTTTGGGATCGATCCCTTCCCTGGGAGAATTTTGGGATCAGTTTGTTCCCAGGGGAA